TGGGGGGGGGGGGGTGTCAAGCGTTGCCTTACGTAAGCCAAACGCTTTTTAGACTTTTAATGTTTGTTTGTCAAAATTTTATTTTCCAGCTTTTATTTCTTCCAAATTTCGTTAATTTGAAGACTGACTAGTCCAAATTTCGTTTTTTTAGACGTCTAATGTATTTACATGCTAGTTTTAAAATATCAAAATATCACCATTTTTCCCTCCCTCCCCTTCCTCAATGCCTCCAGACCTAACACTACCTTTGCAAGATTCATTAGCTAAATTTTCTTGTCTCCAGAGGTAAAAAGAGTTATTACCTGATGACATAAAGCATTATTGGAGTCTGTTAAAAGCTATGTTTGTCTTAAAAAATTTACTTGACTCCAAGATATTTGACGCAGACGTGCGTATAGCGTTTTTCGTTGGTTTGCCTGATCGCAAATATCCCAGGGTTTTCTTTAATTCCTGTAAAAGCTCCGTAAAATTCTAACATATTCGACCTTACTCTTAAACGCAACGTAAAGGACAGACATTGATAAGTAAATAATGTGCCTGAGAGAATCGCTGAATTGATCCTGTTTTTTTCCCAATACTCGTCCTCTTTAACTTTTGTTCTTCCACTTCCTCTTTTGTTCTTTTTCTTCATCTTTTCCCTTTTCCTCCTCTTTTCTTCTCAATCTTCTTGCCTTATTCCCTGCTTCTTTCTGTTATCTTATTCTTTTTTCTCCTTCTTTCTTCTTATTATCCTTCATATTTTCTTTTCCTTTTTATCATTTTATTCTTTCTACTCTTTTGTTTTACTTCTGCCGCTCTACTCCCTCTTCCATGTTCCATTTCCCTGTTCCTTCTCTCCTCTCCTACTTCTCTCTTTTTTATTAAAAGAAAAAAAATCGTCAAAAAAAATCGAAAATCGTCGAAATTTTCTCGTCAGAAGAAAAAAATTCTTCTGACGACCAAAAAGCATACAATTAAAAAATATGAATAAGTTAACGCGATTCTAACAAATGTTATTGTGTCTACAACAAATGCCAACAGAAACCGTCCAATTGTTATGATATGGGGTAGAAACCACTATTAGACCACCTAAGAGCTTGCGTTTCTACCCTAAAAAGTGAAGGCAACTATCATGACGTTACGCTCTTCCCGTTTCGTAAGAGGCTCTCATTTGTGTTCCGAGTGAGCCCACCATTTCATGATGATACCACTATTAGATCACGTAGGAGCTGGTGCCTACTCAGAAATTGAAGGCGAACTTACATGGCGTCCACGTCCTGTACGTCCTGTGCGTATGAGAGTGTGGTCGGGTTTTAAGGGTTGAATTTCACGATAAATGAAACTGTTCTAATTATTTTTTCTTCTTTCTCATTTTTGCTTTCTTTTTCCTTTCTTTCTTTCATTCTTCCTAAGTCTTTTTCTTCGTGTTTCCTCTTTTCTTCATCATCTTCTTCTTTATCCCTTTATATTCTTCTTCTTCCTCGCTCTTTTATCTACCTTTTCTTCAACTTCGTTTCTTCTTCTCTCTGTTTTCTTCTCCTTTTTTTTATCTTTTCCATCTTTATCTCTTACTTCTCGGACGGGCAGTGATAAAGGCTCATCGCTAAACGATAAGTGCGCTTAAACCCACATATGAACTGAACCTTTTTATACAATAAAGCGTTACCATTAAATTATTCGAATAGGTTGGCGCGATTCTAACAAAAGTCATTTTATCTACAAGAAATTAGCCGATGAAGACCGTCTGACTTTTATATGAGAGATGCTTTTCGGAATAAAGCTGATCTTCTCTCGCTCTAGAAACAATTAAACTTATTCGGAGTAAATTCTACTGCTTTTTTCTAAAACCAACTATTCAGCTCAAAAAATGCTCTCGAAACGGAGGCCGCAATAAACAGGATCTCTTACTTTATGAGAGATTCCACCTTTGCCGCCAGTCGAACTCTTTTTGCACGGATAGGGAGCAGAGCGCATACACACATCAGCAAGGTTACATTTTGTGTCGGAACACGCAAGTTGTAGGCTGCAAGGGGTTGCTGCCACGGCAACCCCCGCAACCCTGCTAATGTGTTTGCTCCCCATTTGTTTATGGAGAATTCGACGGGGTATATCGGTGGACTTAGTCATAACGTTGCGGATCTCCCATTACGCCCTCAACTTCGGAATCTTTTTTGAACTTCAGGAGTTCGTCCGAAAACCAGTGGCACCACGGTGTTCCTCGCGGATTTTTACGATGAAGAAAAAAGTGCCTTCATTGCAAATCCCCGTGGCATGCAAGAGCCTCATTGTGTCCCCTCATTCAATTCAATTAAGCCTGGTTCACATGGTTACCATGGGACCATGTGTCAAGGTCGATGGGCAGTCAGTTTTCGCACGCTAGCCAGAGCACCTCAGTCCACCAGTATTCCGCGAGAAACTTAATGGACTGAAGGGTGGGGCCGTTCGAGCACTACGCGTAAGCCACCTAGGGGGCAGGGGGGTCTGAGCTTGACTTACGGGGACCTATGAGTGGAAAGGGGATCCGTCCGGGGCTCGTGCAAACCACCCACTTAAAAAAAGCATGATCTCTCTGTACGAAAAAATAACTTTTCAGCGATTTGTTTGGTCGTCTACTTACAGGGGTCGTTTTCAGTCAAAGGGCCAAAAGTTTTGTTGCCACTTTTTATTCTTCATCATATTAATTTATTTTTCTCTTCCGAGGACCAAGATTGACCCACATTTTTTTCTGAACGGAAAAACCTCGGAAAGTACAATTCTAATACGTACAGCGAGCTATTTTCAAAATTTCCATTGGTTTCAGAAGGATTTTTGTGCAAAAATGTGGGCTTTTCGTCATTTTGGCGATAACTTTATTCTTGCTCCATCACTTCTACTTGATTGTATGCATTAAAATCAATTTTTCCTTTAAGGTACTGCTCAGTCAGAGTTATGATCATTTCAGAACTACTTGGAATCAGAAGGTAAACAGAGGGGTGCGTCCTCGACGTTCCAAGATGGCCCAAACTGTGTCCATCATTTCGACGACGCATCCCTCTGTCCAACTTTCGATTCCGGTCGTTTGATGGTTCTGTAATGATCATATTTCAAGGTCCAGTAGTGCGTTTTCAGGAGGAACTAATTTTAATGCACGAAACCAATGTAGAAAGTGGTGAAGTAGTTAGTGAAATTTGTCGCCGAAATGACGAAAATCCCACATTTTTTGAACAAAATCCGCCCGAAACCAATAGAAATTTCGAAAATAGCTCGTTGCTGCAAGTGTCAGCATTGAACGCTACGAGGTTTTCCCGTTCAGACAATGTTTGGATCAACGTTTTCCGTGGACTCTTGGCGGAAAAAAATAAATAAATATGATAAAGAGTTAAAAGCGAGGCGACAAAACTTTTAGTCCATTTTCTGGAAACGACCCTTGGCCATAGATACTCGCATTCTCAATGTGCCTGATACGGGTGACTCCATGTCAAAATAAAATCATATTACAATCATGAGCTCCTTTTTTAGGCTCGACCTCATATTTTGTCGTTGAATAAAATGCTCACAAACAGAGCGCTCCCATCACGCTGGCATTTTTTTTGAATCGGCAGGTCCGAGAGCATGTTTCCCGCGTCTAGATACAGTCAGTCGACAAGTGTCGCCCTCTAGTAGAGTGTGACAAGAACCCGTGTCGTGACGAAAGTGCCGTGGTGGGAGGTAGAAATGATTCAGTTATCTCGTCAAGCAAGTGCGTTCGTTCCGAAAATTCCGTAGGCAGTTGATGTGGCAAATGTTATGTGCTTATTTTTTTCCCACTTTTTTTTAGTCTCCTTACTATTCTCTCGACAATAAATTATCATAATTCCGTGGGTGTTTACGCCGGACCGCCGATCCTTCCGCGCCGGTTCTAATGTCGTCTCCGTCCGTCGTTTTTCGCTAAGTTCTCATGTGTTATTCGTTCGTTTGTTTTTAAATAATGGTTTCGGCTTGTGTGACAACGAATCTCGATTTTGGATAACGCATTGCCAAGTATTCGTCATTTACTTTTTGTCCTATGAAACTTCCCTCAATTATCTCTCTTCACCTCTTGCATTTTCCATGCCAGAAATATGCATCCACTTCCTCGCAGTCGACCTCAGGTCATGTTTTTCAATTTGGAGGTTATGTTGTTTTCAATGTGCTGTTCGATTTTGTTGTGTTTTTTGATTAGCTTTCTTTGAGCTTGCTCCTTACTTATAATTACAATGAAAGCTGTTTACTTAGTATCACCGGACAATGAGAACAGCATAACTCCAAATTGACCTAAACATGACAAAACAAAATACAACTCCCTACCTCTCCAAAAACTTGTGTTGGTGGTATTCCCCAAGAATTCCACAACAAAAACAAGAAACCAGCAGAATCATGGATAAAGTACCTTAGGAGAAACTTAATTTTTGAGAAAAAAAACATTTAACCATTTGAGAAAAATTATTAAATACATCTCCAGGGGTAGGATAATAAAGAACTTGAAACTTATTTCCTCTGTCTCTCTTACTTGAAGCGTTGTAGGAAGAAAGAAAACTTAGTAGTTCAAAATTCCTCAAGTTTTTCATGCTTTAGCATTCCAGGTTTATGATTATGTTAATGTAGTTACTCAAGAAAGGTAGAATTATTTTGAGTAAAGAATCTGAATCGAACTGTAGGTAAATTTGAACTAAAAGTAACTGATGCCTCATTTTCACCTACCTGCCTCTGCCCAGTCTTTACTCTCATACAAGTTTAACCCTTATCGTGCTGTAGAATGATGATCCAAATTGTGACTGTATGGAGAGTTTGTTTTACAGGAACTACTTGCACTTTTATTCTTCCTGAATAGTTTGTCGTAACGCCAAATTGCTCAACCTTTCAAGAGATTGTTGACATTTTGGCAATGGTTCAAGAATCTTTTCACTGTTTTGCACAAAGGAATAGTACAGTCTGTGGGTTACTTTCATCGCACCCCTTCCTACTTTACTGCTAAGTTGAATATCTCTAAAAATATATTTCCAATCCAGTTATTAAATCTTCAAAAATAGGCATATATTTTCTGTATTGGTTCAATGAAAAGTTTGCCAATAAAGTCATTTCACATTCTCGAAGAAAATGTTTCTAAGTATTGTTCGAAACAAATGTTTCTCAAAGAAATTAAGTAGTATTCTTTCTTTTAAATATTACTTATTAATGAGCCGAATCATACCTGTTAGTCTGTAATGGAACGGAAAGGGGAGTTAAGCACTATTTCAATGGACTTGTTCTGCCCTCAACACCTGGATTTTTTTTATGCAGTCTTGTTAAACTGAGGGATTGAAACACCACCTTGCAGCAATATGAGTGATTTATTTCATAGTTATCACAGGTCAGTCATTTAATCAGGTGGGCAGTAGGGCAAGAGAGCTACTGGGCTTGCACTTTTTAAGGTCATCTGCTAGAAAAAGAGAGCATGATCATGCAGTTCACTCGACCACTGAGAAAATGGGAATGAAGTGAAACGACCTCCCAATGAAAGTAAGTGTGGCTAGTGTGAGGAATTGATGGTGGCTACAGGTTGTCTCCCACATAGTCGTCTTCCTACTCATATCAGGGTGACTCGTGAGCTTGGCTCTGCCAGCCAGTGGCATGCTCCTATATCAATGGGCCATTACTTTGTCTCTATCTCCAATCTGTTGTTGATTCAATAGATTGACTCGGCTCAGCTTGAGCTATCCCAAGGTGAGGTGTGGCCTTGAAACTTTAGTTTTCCAGTATAGTTCGTCTCCGTGCCTAGTTCATTCCTGGTCTCGCATCAGTCAACATCCTTAGTTCACTTACCTCCCAGTGATAGGTTATCAGTAGTGTCAACATCATTTTTGTGGCTCAGCAGTGTTGTTTTGGTTATTACCTACCGCAGTTTTTTTCTCTCTTTCTTTTTTTCTACGTTTTCCTCAGAGTTTCCTCTGGTTTCCTCCGAACTGTTTTGGTTCCATAATCCTTTTCCTCTTAATCTAGCTCACAAATCAAACATTTTTCCACTTAGAATTAATTTTTTCAGAAGAATGGGTGATAGCCAGAGGTGTTTAAATGCATATCAATGTTGCAAATTTTCACCTAACATTGTATTTATTTTCTCTAGAATGGTTGGAACTTCCCTTTGAATTAATCGTGAATTTTTTTGGTGATTTGAAGCAAATTCCCTAAAATTTGCTGAATATAACATGCATCTGTTTATCAATGAAGGAATATTTTTTTCAAATGAAACTTTGCAATAATGCAATTCAGTCAAGGTACCCTGGCTCTCACTTCTTCATTTCAATTATCCGCAGTAAGTAAAATCCGTAGTGTATTGTGTTAGTAAAAAATTCTGTAAAAGGAATTGAATTAGCCGAAAGCTCTTCTGTACAGTTGTTTTCCCGTTGGGCACTTCGAGACTGATGTGTTGTCCCTGCAACCATGAGGGAATATGCTCAGCTTTAGAATATTTAGTTACTATCTCAGAAAGTCCTTTATTTTTTATTCCTTCACACTAAATTTTGGTCTTGATCAAGAATCTATTGTAGGTATCAAACCCAAATTCTTAATTTTGACGGTTTCCTCTTCAGATTGATTTGCAAGTCCAGCATCACCCCTTTTTCTCTTAGAAAATTAAGCTATGGCATCAACCTTTCGCAATATCCCTCAAATGCTTTTGCCTCTCCAAAATTTTGGGGGAACTCCTCAAGAGAGATCCTAAATTTTTCATTTCAAATAACAACTCATGATACGTTGTTGGAAAAGAAATTTTTGGCCTAAAGCTCAGGTTGAACAAATTGACCGATAGTTAATACAATTGCATCCGGTTTGCTAATTAATTGACTGTTTTTCAGGCTGTTATGACGAAAGAACCTGCGCTTTCCTCATGTCCTTCACTCATTCAAGCATCGTTGTATAGTGTTACAGCCTTATTTTTCGCGGATTTTATTTTTGATTTTAAAAACCAGTATCGATCATCAACGATTCACCGAGCGGCGGAATCCCTACAAAACATGAGCGGCCAAATCCCCATACGATATCGTGCTTGGGCGGCGGAACCTGAAGAATCCAATCCCAGAACCGAACCCTCGCACCTTCACGTCCCGCGCCGTTTCGTGTTCAAGCAGCGTTATTTAGACAATTATTTCCTTGCTATTTTATCGCGTGTCAATAGTAGTTTCTCCTCCCCCTCCCATCTTCTATAAGCCCTTGCTCTCAGCCAAAAACAGGTCGAATACTCGAATATTTCTCGAGGCACTTCTCTGTTCTGTTGGTTTCTCGGCAGAAGTGAGAAGACCCCATTTCATTTTCCATCGGCCATACTCCGTCTGAGAGTTCCACCATATTCTTGAATAGATTTTCTCATGTTTCATTATTTTATACCTTTTAAATAAAAACTTAACGCAACAGGCTTATGGTGGAGGAGGGGGGTCTGGGGGGGGGGCGCCTTCCTCCCTAGTGCCCACGGCCTCCCCTGGAAAATGTGATCATATATACCTGCGCATAGCAGGTAGTTGAGGAAGAAAGGTATTACGGACTCGACTGTCTAGCACTTTCTGCTTTCCAGAGAACCAGAAATCTACGGGCTTTTACAAAAATTCTCCCTGCAATGTATCAATCAATCCCGAAAATCCCCTCAGAAAACATTCGAATTTTTGTGTTCGTCAAGAGGATACATTCACGGTCTTAGCTAGGGGGTGTCTTGGGGGATGCCCTCCCTAGTATGCTGGTGGCCTCTCCTCCCCCCCCCC